CTGGAACACTCATTGATGTCTATGTGAAAGAAATGTACAGCAGTTGCAGCTGAACTGATTAGATACATGTACACACGCACTGAAAACACATTTATGCCTTGGTTTTTACTTCACACCAAAAGGAACTCACCTTGCTGACAGTCATGTCCAGTCCATCCAGGTGAGCAGGTACATTTGTATCCACCATCTTTGTTCACACAGGTTCCATGTTGACAGATTTTGCTGGTACACTCATTGATGTCTGTGTGATAAAGAAAGAAATTCCATACATAAATAAAACTTATGTAACGAAATTCAAGCCATGAAACTACCTTTAGACCTGACTGTGAGTGGCAACAGGAAGACAAAAAGTAGCTAACCTTGCTGACAGTTCTGTCCAGTCCATCCAGGTGAGCAGGTACATTTGTAGCCACCACATGTATTCACACAGCGGCCATGCTGACAGGGTTTGCTGGTACACTCATTGATGTCTACATGAAAGAATGTACACAATTGTAGCTGAACTGACTGAAACCACACTGAGAACATAATAATTATGCTTTTTCTGCCACAGTACACACAAAAAGGCGCTCACCTTGCTGACAGTTCTGTCCAGTCCATCCAGGTGAGCAGGTACAGCTGTATCCGCCATCTTTGTTCACACAGGTCCATGTTGACAGAGTTTGCTGGTACACTCATTGATGTCTGCGTTATAAAGACATACAGATATGCCATGCACAATGTAGATCACTGCTATAACAACCATATGAAGAAAGAAAGAAAATGGAAGGAATGGTAGATGGAAATAGAAAAAAACATGTATGCTAATTGAAAGGTAGCTACAGAAAAAAGTGCTCACCTTGCTGACAGTTCTGTCCAGTCCATCCAGGTGAGCAGGCACAATTGTATCCGCCATCTTTGTTCACACAGCGTCCATGCTGGCAAGGGTTTCTGGAACACTCATTGATGTCTGAAGAAAGAAATGTACAGCAGCTATAGCTGAGCTGATTAGAAACACGCTGAAATTACCTCAAGCATCAGTTTTTACTCATAATACAAATAGGGAACTCACCTTGCTGACAAGTCTGTCCAGTCCATCCAGGTGAGCAGGTACATTTGTAGCCGCCATCTTTGTTCACACAGGTTCCATGCTGGCAAGGGTTTCTGGTACACTCATTGATATCTGTATGGAAGAAACGTGCAGTATTTGTAGCTGAACAGATTAAAAACACACTGGCAACACACACTGTACAAAAAGGCGCTCACCTTGCTGACAGTTCTGTCCAGTCCATCCAGGTGAGCAGGTACACTTGTATCCATCATTTTTGTTCACACAGGTTCCATGAAGGCAGGGGTTTCTGGTACACTCATTGAGGTCTGTATGAGAAAAATGGACAGCTGATGCTGATTGAAAACACGCTAAAAACCCATACCTGATGCCTTAAAGCAAGTATGGAACTCACCTTGCTGACAGTTCTGTCCAGTCCATCCAGGTGAGCAGGTGCATTTGTATCCACCATCTTTGTTCACACAAGCTCCATGTTGACATGGCCATGGGTTTCGTACGCACTCATTGATATCTGTGTGATAAAGAAAATACAATGTATCTTTTAAATCAATGCCTTCAAGAAAAAGGAAGGAAGGACGGGTGGAGAAAGGGACAAGTGTAAAGTATGCAAAGTAAATCTCACCTTGCTGACAATTCTGTCCAGTCCATCCGGATTCACAGGTGCATTTGTAGCCGCCATCTTTGTTCTCACAGGTTCCATGCTGGCAAGGAGCCTTGATGCACTTGTCTGCATCGTCAATACCTACGTGTAAATTAACAGTTAACAGTATTAACTTCCCTTCGAAGATATAATGAGGGAAAATGTGATAAGCAGGTGCGGTACGTTTACTTGTGGGTTTACCTGTTGTTGATGGAGGTGTGAGTGTCACTGGTAATGTCTTGTCTTTTGTAGTGACGTCTACATGGGGGTCATCAGTCCATTTCCATCCAGACAGTGGAGGCAGCGTGGTCAAGCTGACGACAACTGAGTTGTTCATCATCTCGTAGAATCCGGTCTGCCACGTGGTGCCAGACTTGGTCGGAGGTGCCGGTGGGATGGGAAAAGCGACATCCGAGCTGTTTTCCTTGTAGGACGCCGTCCACCATGGATTGCGTGGCTTCTCTAGCGTCTTACCGATCAGCAAGCCATCTTGAATCTACGTTTACAGACAGATGCACACACCAAGTCAATGTGTTGGTTGTGAAAGCTCATCTATTCATCATTGACTTCAGTATAGGGTTTGGGGCAATGTCTCTATTTTGGTGCACACAGTCAACTCACCGACCTACATTGCACTGTCTGGACATACAGACACACAAGCCCACATCTCACCCACCCAAAGTCATACTTCCACAAGCGGAAGTAATAAAGATGCCTGCCCACCTTTCCTCCGGGTATGAGACTGCCAGGCGACAGACCTTCAGCGATGAAACCCGACGCTACCAGCAGAAGTCCGCAGCCGAGTATACACCATAAAGTGTTTACAGATTTCACCTTACTCCACAATTCCACAGCATGATCTAAAGATCAGAATTACCCCAATTAGCTTGTTTCTATTTTGCATATTTGTTTATTTGTCCATGTAATCAGTATATCTCTGTTTAATCATTTTGTGTAGATGGCGCCGTTAATATAAGTTCCATGGAACTTGAGTTCTTAATATATGTTTTTTGCTGTTTTAATAAAAAAAAGTTCAAAATTCGCAAAACTCCATTGAAGTAAAAAATATGTTGCTATGTATCAAGGTGATAATAACTATCAATGATAATTTTTGGGTGGCAGACATAATGTAGATGAAAAGTGGTATAGGCTTAGGGTCCCTGGCTTCTTTTGTAAGCAACTGTAGTCAGGTTTTTGGTGTAGAATATATCCTAAAAAGAATCATGAATGTATTTGTAATGATTTTGTATATGTGGCTAATACATGCAGAAGTATTTGATCTGGACATACCTCTAACTTTCTGACAAAAGCCTCCGGGTGCGTCGCCCACTTGGTCTCCAATGCTATCCGCGGGCGTGTAGGACGCATACGTGTCGGACTCCGACTCTTCATAGTGCTCCGGATATACCACCACATGGTCCCCCATGTCAAGATGCGGAAGCGTCGAAGTTTGTTTTAACCCGCTGCCCCGTTTCGCACGCTCGCTGCAGTCCTCTAGATCCGCGCCTCCGTGCTTTCCGCCGTCATCTCGTTTTGCGGGAGACTGCTCTGTGTTGCCTCCCTTCCCTTCATCAGCAAACCGTCGAGGCGGGGGTCCATTGGACCCATGGATCAAGACACTGTCACCGTGCGGATCTACATCCTCGTACTTCCGTGGTGGCAACGGGGGCGGGACGTTCCTACGACCCTGATCTGTACCCTGTTTGTCGAGCCCAGAACTCAGTACAATGATGCTTTGGCCGTGTAGATCCACATCTTCGTACTTTCTCGGTGGCAAGGGGGGCGGGACGCTTCTACGATTCTGATCTGTATCATCCTGCTCGTCTGGCCCAGAACTCGACGCAAAGATACTTTCCCCGTGCGGATCCGTGACTTCGTACTTTCTGTCCAATACTTTATTCCTTCCACCCACCTGTTCCTTCTCCTTGTCGCCTTTGTCTAATGTAGAGGGAAAGAGGTGGTTTTGGGTAGGGGTCACTGGCAGCTTTCTTAAAGAAACTATAGGCAGGTTTTTGTAGGAAAATGTATTTATGAGTATCATTGGAGAGACTTTCATGCCGATAATGAATGCGGGACATTTCATTTGTTTACAGCTTTGCCACGTTTCGTTTTTTGTGACAGTCAGTATCGTCTATGGCTTAGTGATGTTTATTATTTTGAGGTACTTCATTAAAAACATATGGGGCTAATCACGGGGCTTTAGTGTCTTTCATAATAAGAAGGCAATTTGTAATGTATTAACCTATTGTTTACATTGTGAGAGTAACGTTGCCAGGTTTTTTAAAACCTTTGTCTTTGTTTTTTAAAAACTTGTTAAAATCTTATTTACGATTATCAAAATAATTGTTCCGACAAAGATCACTGGATATCTTCTTGTAAAATTCAACAGCGAAAACAAGCATGGGGATAACATGTACATTATCAACCACAACCGGCAGAAGAATATAGAAATTGAATAATGTTGATTTTAGATGCATTTATAATAGATATAATACAAAACCTCTCCGAATGATATATGATCACAAGAACCAGGTACTGTATGGCAACTTATTACATGTACATATTGTATGAATGTTGAATTGCTTATATCTAACAATTCAACGAGACCCATCTATAATAATGATACTGATACATGATACATATGATATAACAAGTCGTTCAACCATTTTAAAAGAACTTACAACACAATCTGACATACCTCGATTTGATGCAGACATCTTGGGTTTTGTATCATGTGTGATAAACGTTTAGTTGGTGTAACAAATCATAATCATCGGTCGGTAACAAATATCTGCGAAAAAAGCACCAGCCATATTTTTGACGGCTGAAAAAGATGACGCCCACCTAGAATTCGTACAGCCTGGATTAAAAACAAGCCCCGATGAGACTATTATCACAAAATAAAAAACAAAGAAAACTTCAAAATAAGAATTTGATTAAATTCTAAGCGTGGGAGATCACACGTACGCACATCATATTGAGTGGTGGTCTGGTGGAACTTTCATGTGTATGTAATAACTAATCATGCGCATATATGCCAATACTTATTCATTGTGGCTGGTATGGTTTGATGTCACAGAGCAAGAACTCCAAATAAGGTGTGTAAAGAGCTACGAAACAGTGTGAGACTAATTAAGAAAACATGCATACAAACATGTCTCGAAATGTCACCTCCTTCACCCTATTCTCTTACACGCTACCAACATGGTGACAAAATGACAAATGACCAATGACATGCATGTATGGATATTACATTCTTAAAATACAATAAGCTCTATATATTGCTATCTCGTAGTTTTGTTAAATAAGCTTTCCATGAGGCTTTGAAATGCCTGGACTTTAGTCTACAGTGTCCAATATACAGCGCCACTACTGCACATAAAACAAGCATTATAGGACAGAACACAGCACAACATAGTGGCAGTGGTGGGATATGTTGGTTCTCGGTCAACAGATAACACTGGTCCTCCGACGAAAGTCGTCTTCAGCACGGGTAGATCTGAACCTTAGACAGTCCCGACACCAGGTGGAAACCCCTGGCCTGGGAAGTCTCTGACGACTGGGTAGAATTCTCCACGATATGCTGCCGTCAGCTATTCCTTGAAATTTGCAGTTAGATATTAAATGAATTTCTTAGCAGCCTTTTCTAAGGTGGGGCAGTCCAAGGCACAACAAGTAACGTATTACGGGGTGGGGGGGGGGCACTAATGTTGAAGGTGTAAAAGAAATATGTAGTTGAATCATTTCCCGCTGTTTTGCAGTACATTGTTGTTGCATACGTAGGCAAATATTGCGACTGGAAATTTCTCTGAAAGGGTGAGCCAACAAACAAAGGAACAACGCCCAAAGTTCCTCTATTAAAAAAGCAGTGTTTATTTGTGTAGAGTGTGGTGTACTCAAGGTTTTATTTCCATGTTTTATGCAAAGAACTGGAATTTGTGAACCATATGGCATATTTGTGAACCATATGGCATTCAGTCAGTCATATTTCCTCCCTTCCATTCATCCTTTAATCCATCCATCCGATCTTTTCATCCATCCATCCATCCATTCATTTGCAGTGCATTTGGTCCATGTTTGGTCCATATTTCGTTTTGTAGCCCAGTGTAATATTAGTTTTCAATAATAGTTATAAATGTTTTGTTACATTTTTTCAGATCTTTGGACCAGTTTAGAACATATTAAAGATACCACCACAGAGGGGGTCTATACTGGTGTGATTGTATCAAAACTTACAGTCTGGTCTTATGCAGCTCGTACGTATTGTACAAAACTGATGTGTTACACCTACATGTAAAAGCAGCCTACCAGTAATGCAAAACAAACAAATAAGATACACAAACATTTTTATGTGCTCTGAAATGCATTGTATTCAGATCATCATTTTTGTTTACCATATCATCTAAAACACCGATCTTTCAAGCCTTTTCAAAGTGAAGATACTTTACAAGACTTAGTGTAACTACATGCACCATGTACATGTACATTATATTTCTCTACATCTCTCTTGTACTTGGACCATTGTAGACCCTTCAGCTCTGTGCAGGTGATATTTTTTGTCTCAACCAAAATCTCAAAAAACTTGTGAGAAGGAGATGGCATTGATAAGTCATTCCAAGTTTTCTCAATTTATGTCTTCCATCATATTAAAATTTAAACAACGTTTCCAGCTAGTTAGGAAGTTGGCAAACTTATACATTGTATAAGGTGTATGGATTCAGTCAACAAGTCATTTCCATCATCATAGCCTGTTGCTGTACCTCTACAGTCAGTTTTGTTCCATTTTATCGGGATGTCTGTATCTCTGAATGGTTTTTCTTGGCTTCTAAATGAACATTGGTAGCCTGAATGTACTCTTGATACATGTATAT